TATGCTCGTTCGAACACGATCGATAGTGGTCGTGTAGTCTAATCCCTACCGTACTGTTGCAACTTCTCGATCGACGGCTAGTCACCAGAAGGTAGCCAGATCTCAGCCGTATTTTACAGTCATATAGAAAATACCCCTTCCATTCTTCCGCAGCGCTATTCGGAGTCCCCTTCCAGGTTCTTTGATTGATTCTGATAACAACGTTTCGTTTTTCTTTCAGAATTTCATTATTGCATCTTTCATTTTCCCTAGATATTTGCTCTTCTTCTCCTCGTATTGACACTGCTCTGATCTTTGCTTCGGATATTTCATAGGCCGCCTCGACCTCACTGCTACTTTATGGTTGGGTTAGCAGCATTCTCTGTACATCCATCCATATCTATAATTTCATTAATGAAACATTCGGTCACTAGGTTTTCTCACATTTCTGCCTTTGCCAAATGAACCAGACCGCGAATATCGGTTTAAACTTTTTGTAAACTTTCCACAGTTCTATGTTGTCGTGTTCTTTGCTGGACCTGGTTAAGCTGCCGTCGGTATTGATCCCTATTCCGACGCTCTAACGTATGAACAAGCTCACCTTAATTTTGTTGATATGCTGGCGGACGAGTCTCTAATAGGTATTAGAGAGGGAGGATATTCCGAATACTTCTGGAGACATCCGGAAAAAATCGAAATTTCGCAAAATTGTTTTTATTTCTTCTTGACTTTATTTAAACTGATATTTCTGAAAAGATGTCAGTTTATTGTTGTAGCCACTTTTTCTCCCCTAGAAAGATGGCCTTGTCAAATATATAATCTGACATTCCGTTTTATGGCAATCATCATAAACTGTATTTTTTTCTAATAGGGACTGAGACTGGGATAGAGGTCGTTATCCCTATCACTATGGCACTTGTTGTCTTCTTCTCTCTAGATAGAGAAAATGTCCCTATTATCATTATTATTATTATTATTATAATTATTATTATTATTATTATTATTATTATTATTATTATCATTTATTATTATTATTATTTAATTTACAATAGTAAGCGGGTAGAAACTCGATGAGAGTATTGATTTAATTACAGTTCCGTTTTCTTAAATATTAATTTTTGTTTTTTTTTTATATTATTTGTCACAATCAATTTTTCTATCACATTGGTATCACATATAATGCACGAGATGATTTGACCATTGTTTCATTTCAACATCTAGTCTGTTCTTAAACTAGTTCAGTGAGGTCGCATCCACAGTGTCCTCCGCTAGCTTATCCCAAGTATACACAGGTTACACCCGTAGTGGCCGCTCGTGATTTTAAAGGTTTCAACAAGGTCACCTCTCAGCCTTCTCTCTCTAAGTGTAGTCAAGTTCAGCCTATTGAGCCTGGTTTCGCATGGGAGGTCTTGGAGCTCTGGAGGAATTTTGGTCATTCTTCTTTGCACATTTTCAAGGATTTCCATGTCCTTGATGTAGTAGGGGCTCCAGATGCACTGACCGTACTCCAGTTTAGGTCTTACACATTATAAGACATCTTCAGGATCATCGCGCTGGAATAAACTCGGAAAGAGGTCTTGATGAGGTAAATTGGGGTATTTGCCTTTCTGACTATCTGGGATATGTCCTGTTCCCATTTCAAATTATCTGTTATATTGACACCCAAATCCTTCTGGCGTTTAGCTTTGGTGAGCTCTGCTTGATCAAGGACAAATGCAAGTCTTGGGTTGTTTTGGCCTATTTGACGAATGGTACACTTTGTGCTGTTACGAGGCATTCTCCAGAGGTCCGTCCAGCCCGTTGATGGTTTCGAGGTCGTCCTGGAGGTCAATTCAATGACCTCCACGGGATTACAGAATAGGTTTTTGTCATCTGCAAAAGATAAAGGGCTTGTCTTCAAACCCGCATACAAGTCACTCCAGGTAAACGAGGAACAGCAGGGGTCCCAGAACTGAACTCTGCGGCACACCACTGTAAACACTGAGCTCCTCCGACACTACCGATCCCACTCGTACCTGAAATGTTCGAGCCCGAAGAAAGCTGCTGATGAACCGCAGAAGCTGTCCTCTAACACCGTAGTGCTGAAGTTTGTAGATGAGCAGGCTGATAGGAATCTTGTCAAAAGCTTTCTCGAAGCCCAAGTACACAGCATCTATGAGTTCTTGGTTATCATCAGCATAGGTCCATTTCTGTAGTCTGGTCAAAAGGTTTGTTATGGTAGACCTCCGAGGAAGGAAGCCATGCTGTTCATTAGGGATGATATGGTTGTCCAGGAAGAAAGTTGTGCGCACCTACTAGTATTTTCTCCATGCATTTGCAGATGACACTGGTTAAACTTATTGGCCTGTAGTTTTCAGGTAGCTGTTTGTTGCCTTTCTTTGGATCTCAGGAAAATGCCATGTGCGAAATATGTCATTCATTGCCTCTGATAATGGCTTACATAGTGTGTCTTGACACCGTGACTGCGGAGAAATACTGCAGGAATTTGATCCGGTCCAGCGCTGGTGTCGGTCTAGAGAGAACCCATGGCGGCCATTACTTTTTCAGGTGTAAACGTTATTTCTGATATTTCTATCTGTGAATAGGTGTTTGGTTACAGAGCAGGTGTAGTTTCAGTACTGAGAAGTTTCACATAAACACTTTGGAACTGTGCAGCGAAGGACCTGGCCACATCCTCTTGTGTGTCAATTATAATATTAGTGTTTTTGTCGATTAGGCTCAAACTGGCGTGTTTGGAATTGAGGCTACGATTTATACATGATGCATAAAAATGTTTGTTAGGGCCAGCTAGAAGGTTGTGCTCATAGATTTTCCGTGTCTCTGAGATGTAGTATTTTGTTCTGTTGTTCTGAATACGGTACAGAGAATAGCTTTCTTCTGTTTGATTTTTCCTGTACTTGTGCCATAGATCTCTTTTCTTCTTGATTTCCCTGAACACCCCTTTGTTTAACCAGGGCTTTTGAGTATTTGTTTTTTTGGACTTTATGAGGAAGAAGTGGTCTTGTATGGAGGGCAGCTTCTTGTGGGTTGGTTTAACTGGGAGTTGCAATTGAGCTCTAGCTGTTATTACTACATGGTCGCTGCGGCCCAAGGGTGCATGCTTCTGGAGATCAAAAATGTTTTTATGATCATTGACGATCATATGGTCAAGTAGGGATACTTGTTAATTTCTTATCCTAGTGGAGAAGTTGATTAGTTGCTTGCCTCTGTGCGACTTGTAGCCTTCCAAAAAGTCTAGGCTACATTGATCACGGGGGTTGACGGTAAGGGTGTCCCAGTCGATCTCCGGGTAGTTGAAGTCCCCGAAGATAACTACGGGCTTTATTGATGACATGGCTCTCTCTATTACTTGTAGGAGTTGCTGATTTTGCTCAATTCGTTACAGAGCCCCGATTTTTTTTTTTTTTTTGAATTACCCTTTTTGTTCTAAGGAAAATTTTATATTGAATGTTCTAATTTTTTATAAAAAAAAAACCGAGGTTCGTATCAAATAAAATCAAGTTTATGATGATTGCTGTAAAACGAAATATCAACGCCGTCTTTTAGGGGAAAAAAAGTCACACAGTTAAGTGACATTTTTTTAAAAAAATATCACTTTAAAATAAAGCCAGGAAAAAATTAAAACAATTTTGCAAAATTTCGGTTTTTCCGGATATCTCTAGAAGTATTCGAAATATCCTAAATAAGAAAGCGAAATTTTTTTTAGAATCAACCTACGAAACTTTGCCCAAATTTAACTAACCCTGTTTCCGACATCCCAATGATGTGGCACGAATTTGGAACACCCTGTACAAGTGCTGCAAGCCGGTGTTGTCTTCGAGCATCCTTCGGGCACTTGCCTTTCTTACTATCTTCGGGCTTTTTCTTCTTGTCTTTCTTTCTGTCTTCGGGCTTCCTCTGCTTGTCTTACTTTCTGTCCACGAGCTTTCTTTTTCTATTTATTTTCCTCGACATTCAAGGAGACCACCAACATTTGATTTACTTGCTCCAGCTGTACGAATCTACCAAAGATAACTATATTTTTCTTAAAACTTGATTTTGAATATAATGTCCTGAGGCGAAGTCTAAATTCCCATACCTTGTCTTATTTTCAAATAGAACACGATGAAATGTTCCAGAAAAATAACTCTATGAACTTGTTTCTCGATGTCAAAACCTTATTAGCTCATTCCAATTCACCAGGTATACCTACCGCGAATTATTTCACTATTTAGCACAAACTAATATGCAAATAATTGTCTGGGTTATTATCCCACTTCTGACGCCAAATTGTCATTGATCCCGCGGGTCTCCTTTACTAACAACAACAACTTTTATTGAACTAATTGACTTCATAAAATTAACTCTCATCACTTGTCGCATTCGCCTAACTTTATACAACAATTATCTTATCTAAACTAACTGACTAACTGACTGACTTATGAACTACGCCCTTATATACGAAAAAATGTATTCGAGAATTTCCTTAAAGCCACGTAAATTCTTGCTTATTTCAAACACATAATGAGGTTTTCGAATTTTCGCGCTCGGGTAGTTAACAGCGGACCGGCATCTCCTTTTTAATTTCGTAACCATTTGAAACTTCACGTCTATTTGAGACAAATTCGTGTTTTGAAAATAAGATGCACCACCTGTAGGGAAAACTCACCGATATTTGACCTAAAAACTGCCACCTGCAATGTCATGATTTCCTTTTTGCATATTTTACTCTCGAGCTTCAAATGGAGGCATTTCTATTTATTTATCTTGAAGTTAGCTATGAAAGTGGTCTTCAAACTAAACAATCTATATTGAGATTTTGAATAGAATGAAACGAAAACACTAGGTAGCTGATAACATTCTATACAAAATAACATTATTTCATCAAATAAACTTATCAACGCAGCCAGTCGCCAAATCCAAAGTAATCTATTCATATGAGTACATCCTAATTTTTAATATGTAGGTACCCTGTTTAACCGTATATATATAGAAATGCATCCACCTGATTTCAGACACATATCTAATAAGATTTATTTTAGGCACAATCCGATATAGAATGGAAATTTGGCCTAAGCAAACTAATACGGAACATGCATAGGACAACCACAGCACCATCTCCGATCAACCTCATAACGACGTGGTTATTCTATCTAGTGGATATTTGTAAAAAGAGAGGTATTATATTCTCAAATAGTTTAGTTTAATTTTTCTAAACCCGAAAACATTAGACTTTGTTTTAGTTAAAACCAAGAAACGCCAGAGTCTAGTTAACCTCATGGGAAGCTTTCAGAAAAGTAGTCAATTAAGTCCAAGGTTGGTATATATTTTTGAAACTCTATTGATGGATTAAACACCTAAACTGGTAAATTCTTACGGAAAATAGAATAATGGAAAGTATAACCTTTGTATTAAGAGTCACAAAACTCATCTCATTTAGCCCGGTATTCATATTAGGAACTTAGTGAGCATCTAAAGCTTATCTTGAAACACATTTTCCATTCATCAGTAACTATTATCTAATTATGTACATTTAGATACTTCCGATGACTATGCACTCTCATTTTGGTAATTCTGTGGTATTGTATAAACTGTGGTATTGTCAACTTAATGTGCCATGACATCCAAATTAAATGTTGCCGTATTTATATTTTCTTCATAAGAGTAAGGCAAATTGATGATTCAATATTGATGTCGGAGACTTCGGGGACAAAATCTATCTCCATTGCCTATCCTTTCTTCAATCTATGAATTTATTTTACCTATGCTGTTTTTTAAATTTATTCTAGATCAAAGGCTGGTGCAAAGTGGCTTTCAAAAGTGAAAAAAGGACGCCAAATTGCACCCAAGGAAATTCCAGGACTTGCCGTGGGTCAAATGAGTCCACTTGGATCTCAGTTAAGCTTCTCTGCTACCACTACCAGAATTGAGCATGTGACGGACTGGGAAGCCATTGCCAAAAAATATAGAGCCCTAATGGGACATGAAGATGAAATTAAAGAGGCGTTGAATGATGAAGATGAAGAGGAAGATGAAGATGCGCCCACAAATTCTAATCCAATGATGGTGGCTACTTCTTCAATGGGTTAAACGAAAAATGAGTTGCTTCTTATGATAAAACTTTCACAACATTAGTTATATTTTTAGGCGGTAAGGAAAATGTCTAGGTAATAACAGAACTAGTGTAATACAAAACAGGGTTTGAAAATAAATAGATAATTTAATGGATTCAAACGAACTGTATTGGTTTAAAAATAAAATTTTGAAAATGATCTTAACAATTTAATGACGAATTTGTTGAAGCATCCAAACTGAACCAGTGAAATTCAATTTTATATGAAATAAAATGCTTATGTACGTAGTGATTGAGCCGGGTCATTTTTTATAATGTAGATAGTTAGCACTCTCCTACAAAAAAAGCCTAATTACCTATATATTTTGACCCTTTTCATTAGTAGGGCACTGCTAAGGTTAAAATTTTCTCCTAATTTTGTCTTTTTGGAACCAATATTATTAAAAAATGTGTAAGCACTAAAAATATGTATTTTGTAGTAAAAAGTGCAAATTTGATGTAAATGTAGAGTAACTGTAATAGTTGTTTGTTTGGTGAATATATTTTTAAATAAATTTGTAATAATTTATTTGAATTATTCATTTGCGTTTTACCTTTCTTAACTGCATACACACGCGTATTAACCCATCTTATTTGGCCGTAGGTATTTTTATCGTCTGTGATATAATTTACAGTATGTTTAGTGGCATGCAGACGTTAATCAAAAATGATGAAATATTTTCTCCCCTGGACTGGAATTTGAACCTAGTGCAACACTCTAAGCGACTGAGCTACAGAGACCGGTCTCATTTCTACCCTGTCGGTCAAACACACACACTTTACATTTTAAAAGAAGATCAACTGAAAAAAAAAGTTTTATTGCTCCAATACAAATTCTGTATTCAAACAGAGACAAACACATGTGTAACTGGAAAATAATGCGTTGTTTTTCACTTTAATGAATAGGTACGCGCTAAACAACGAATTGTTAATTGAACGTTTATATCTAAGTAGTGTACCGCTAGCATACAAGTGGTTATGTACCACAACAAAAAATATATCTATTAAGGTTTAAAGTCAGGCCTATAGTTTATTACAGCAACGCGAGATGTCAATGCTGTCGCCCCTACAGTGTGCCCTAACTAGATAGTCAAAAAAATAGAAATCTTCATTTGGTTAAATTGTGTGATGAAACGTTTTTTCTTTTTTTGCGGAAATTCGAAGTATCATTCTGTTTCACATAAACAGGGTTGTAATTTGGACCAACGCAAATAACTTTGAACGTTCATCCGTCGAATTTTTTTTTAGCAGTGTAGCTACAGGCGTATTTCCAACTATTTTTGCAGTAGCGAGAAAACTAGACGTTCAAGAAATTTGAAAAAAATATATGTCGCGTAGAATTGCAATAGTCGTTCGTAATAAAAATAACGGGAAACTTCATCCATCCGTTTTGAAATAAATGGTGATAAACCACTTTTTTTTCAGTTTTTACGATATAACTCAAAAGTGGCGAGTCAAATTTGCTTAAAAAAATTATGGATTAAAGTATATCAATAACCATAAAACATATATTTTTTTTGGAATTTTGGAACGCAAGGTTCAGAAAATAGGGGTTGACTTTAAACCTTAAAAGAATTAAAAGTGGAAGGTGGAAGTAGGCATTTTTTTTTCATATAGGTACCGATTTGATGCTTTCACTCATTTTAATTTTTTTTCTTATATATTTTTTTCCTATAGCTTATTTTCCACTCTTCCGCTAATTTATGTATATCTATTCATGTTTGAATTGGTTTTGTTACGTGTTTGTAGAGTTTATTGCCATATACTTTATAACTTCTCCATAATATACCTCTTTCTCCTAGTCCAGGCGCTCTATCATTTTCCAAGAAACTACACTATTTCTTAACTTCTTCCTTTAAGTAAAACACTTACTAATGATCCTGCGGTTTTACAGTTTTGTGTTTTCGTATCTGTTCTCTGTGTTATTGTAGTAATAATATCTTTAGTATTTGTTTTCCATATGTTTTGCAGTATTTTTCAATTTCTTATGTTTTTATCACCTCTCAGATAAGTATCAATATCCGTACAGTTTCTCGTTTTAATTTTTTTTTTGGAACTATTTTATTCCTTACTCTTGCTTGCGCTTCTATATATTTCCTTGTTTCCTGTTTTATTTGGACTTGGTATTTCTTCACATAAAAATCTGCTCTGTCTTTCTCGATTTCTTCATTTCACCAATAATGTTTTTGCGTTCTCCCATTTTTTGCGTATTTGCCTAAGGATTCAAATGCTGCACTGTGATTTTTTTTTTTCGGACTACGCTTTAATTTTTGATTTAAGATTTTCATCTATAACCCCTTTACCGTTTTCTTCTTGTGTATATTTTATGTTGCATTTCTTAGACTCAACCTTGTCTTATTGATTTCCCTTTCCATTTCTCCTTGCTATGTTTCTTCCAGAGATAATGATTTTTGTTCTCAGCAAGTGGTGGTCACTATCACCAACCGATCTCCTATATGCTCTCACATCTTGGATTCTTATGTTTGATCTCCGTTTTTCGATAGCGTCACTAATAATCGATTTTTGTTGTAAAGTTTATTTTTTTGACGTGTATTTATGTATTTCTTCATGCTAAAATTATCCATTTGGAATTTTCAGTTTTTTTTGTAGGCACGTTGCTATCAGCTCTACATTGTTATTCGTTACATTCTCTCCAAATTTTCCTACTACCTTGTCGTTGCTTTTTCTTTCTATTGGTCCATTAAACTCTCCTAGCAATATTATTTCCCTTGAATTTCCTAATTCTATGATTTGAGTATTGATTTGTTGATAGAAGGTATCTTTAAAGTCCAATTTATAAACTCACCGTCGAGATTCCGTTAGCGTTTGCGTTTGCGTCGAGCATGCCATTACCAAGTGAATATTAGAAATTCCACAAGATCGTTTATACTCACCGTCGGCCTCACAGTTCCCCGTCAGCATAGAGACTACGGTAACCAGCGAGGCCGACGCAAGCGCAAACTCAAACGGAATCCCGACGGCGAGTTTATAAATTGAGCTTTATACCTAGGGGTTCATCGTCTTTCACTGTATAGGTTTCCATTTTTTTTTTTTTTTCCAAACATACTTACAGGGTATTTGATTATATTTAGGCCCATAAGTACCTACAGACTTTCCTTTTTAAGATAGAAAAAAATTGACAGTTTTTTTTCTATATTTTCTTTTAACTTTATCAGAAGAAACAAAATCGCCTGGGAAAATGGAAAAACGTAGACAACTTCAACTTTTTTTAATGGGACACCCTGTATGGGGTTGAGTTTTTATGCAAAATTCACCTCCCCCTTCCAACCCCCAGTGGCGCACCCAAGGGGGAGGTTTTGGGGGTTAAACCCCCCCCCCCCCCCCGAAATTTAGCACTGGTAGAAAGAATTTTCCGGTAAAAATATTTTTTTTTGCGATTTTGGTTAATAGGTACCTGCAAACTTTCCATTTTACATACATGGCACCCCTAAAAGGTTTTGCCTCCCACAGCTAGTTGATTAAGGTGAGTAAACAGCGAGGTAAACACATAACTTATACAATCACCTGGTTGGTTGGTTGGTTAAGATGCAGAATGAACAGGCCGGGTTAAGTGGCCCCAACACTGTAGCCTGTTCATCTTTTTAGTCAGGGAAAAGTTTCGAGACCTTGAGTTATTTTTGGTGAGCTTAGAGATAGGGTCTTCTGAGTTTAGAGATAGGGTCTTCTGGCGGTTTCATCCTCCTCGTCACAAAGTTTGCATATGGGTTCTTCTTAGAGGATGCCCATTGTGTGAAGGTGTTTTCTCAGGCTACATTGTCCAGTTATAGGTCCAGTTATTAGCCTGATTTGATTTCTGTTCAGTTTGTAGGATTTCTTCCGTAAGTTTAGGTGATGGTTGTTTTACCATAAGCTTACTGTGTCTGAGCTTCGGAAGAGTTTGCGAGTAGGTTTTGTGTTGTCTATACACCCATTGGTTTATTTTTGTTCATATCGATGATTTTGTGGTGCCAATTGCCGGTTCAGGACCAGTATAACTGGTTGCCGATCCTTCTGTTGCCAGAGCATCTGCTTTTTCATTTCCTTCAATTCCTTTATGCCCTGGCACCCATTTAAGGGTTACCTTGTTGGCCATACTTAGGTTTTTGAGGTAATGGAGCAGATAAGGATGTTTTTACCTGTGTATCCCCTCCTCAGGTTTTCTCTCAGACAGGAATCGATGGCCTATATTTCTGCTCGGAATACAGTAGTGTATTCTCCCAGAGGTTGACATATTTGCCGTTGGTTTGCTTCTCTGGGCACCGGTAATACAAGGACATGCAAGTCTCTGGATTTTGGCTAGTTACAGGTTTGCTTGTCTTCGGTTTACTTTAGGCCACCATACAAGTGCACCATATGTTATCATTGGTCTTACATCCGTAGTGTATATCTATTGTACAACTGACAGTTTTAGTCCCCATGTTTTCCCAATCGCTCTTTTTAGTGACATCAACATCATCTTGCTTTTGTTGGTTATCTTTTGGATGTGTTGGTTCCATGCCAGCTTCATATCTAGGGTGATGCCTAGAAATTTAGCTTTCCTGCCAAACTCCAAGGTTTTTTGGAATAGACTGGGGGCGATTAAGTTCTCCAGATTTCCTTTTCTCGTGAAAGAAATGAGTTTTGTTTTAGAGGGGTTGACGCGAAGTTGCTCCCTCGTGCACCATTCCTCAATGATTCCTAAGGCGTCCTGTATGAAGTTTAATACCGTCCTGGTAAATCCTCCCCTGATGACAACGACTATGTCATCCACGTAGCCTAGGGTGATGTAACCTTGATAAATTAGTTTCCTCAGAAGTTCATCCACGACCAGATTCCACAAGAGTGGTGAAAGTACTCCGCCCTGTTGGCATCTTTTTGTCGCGGTTACTTTAATACAGGTTTCAGCAATAGTCGAGTTTACAGTCCTGTGTTTTAGCATGGACTTGATCCATCTGCACGTGGTATCATTATTCGCGCGTTGCTCTGACTATACAATCACTTACAAAAAGTTATTTTTTGAAGGCTTAAAATAAACGTTTTTGGGCGTGACACCCGAGAAAAAATTCTTCCTATGGTAGCCGGCTTACGGCAGCGTCTGCCTGCGGCGAGCCTTCATCATCATGAACCCCCCCCCCCCCCCCCAAATAAAAAACCTAAGTGCGCCACTGCCAACCCCCCAGCCGCCAGAGCCACCCCCTAGAAAATCTTCAATGGGAAGAGGGGTCAAGTGATACCTACATCATTTTGGAGGGTTTTTAATTCCATACATTCTGGTACTAAATTATGATACCTAAGTTCAACTGTTTTAGAAATATTGACAGTTGAAAATTAACTTTTTCGCAACTTTGACAGGCTGTAAAACCTAGACGGTTAATTTTAGAGGAAAACCGATCTCACATTCTATTTTGGTTTATATTTCAGTAAAGATACTTTCAATTTTTAATAGTTTTTATTTATTCTTCTTGAGTTGACATATGGCCACTAGCGCCAATCTCTCTATTTTGTAT